TAAACGCCCATTCCGTCAAATTATCAAGTTGTTAGCATTGAATAGATAAATACTGTTACGGCTATCTGTACAGGAACTGAGTCACAACTTTCCTGGCAAGTCCAGTTGAGACGTCTACTCTTTGTCCATAATAACATGGTCGTGAACAGCTTGCATGTTTTCGAATAAGTAGCATGTTTCTTCTGTTTAAATTATTTCATAACAGGAGTTATCGAATTCTGACTTCCCGTTCCGGTGGTTGGGTCGTGTTGCGTTAACCTCAAGACGCAAGAGAGCAGAGAAAACTGTTTGCTGGAGATTGCAAAAGCACGAATCGAAATCCTTCCAGAGTAACTTATAGATTAGTAACAAGAAAAAAGCTGATGCTGCCCAAGGTTACAACAAAGTTAAGTGCCAAACGTTTTATTGCTTTACAGTTTCTAATATGTTTACAAATCTTTGCCTGTCGGTTTAAGTCACTCGGCAATCACATTTGAACCTAATACTCTGTCCAACCACTATGTAGAATGAGCCCCTGTGCATGAACCGGTCACGTGGTACAAAATCTGCGATACCGGATGGAAAGCTACGCACTGGGATATCTAAAGCAAAGAGGAGTCAAGTTTGACTGGCTCAAACGGTTTTGGAGGCTCTACTATCTGAACAGTTCATGCAAAGTGCCCATTGCGTGACGATCCAAATACTTAGTNACTTCACTGGACATAATCAATACAAAATTATACAACACTGAGGCGTTAAGTGATGAACAATTTCTTCCTTCTACTTATCAGGAAACTCGATCCAATAGAGCGGAATTTCCGAGGTCCTTTTGTCAAGGAGCTTTTGAAGGATTCTGGTGGGCCTTCATTACATCCACTACAGTGGGGTGAGTCAGAGGATTTAAAGAACCCTGGTTGTTTAATATTTACTAGGAGAAACCGGTTTGTCAAAGGTTTCCGTTCGGATTGGCCATTTACCATTTACTTAAAAAAAGCCCAATTTGACGAAAGAGATTAGGACGATTGCGACCTGATTATAATTCCAAGATGGAAAATGAAGAATTGCAAATGATAAGCAAATTTTCCACTCGAAAATTTCGGTTGGAAATTTTGGAGTACCTTTGAGGCCGTTCCTTTTATCTCACAAATTTCCTGGTTGGTCGAGGCAAAAATGTTTTACCTCCACATTCTGACCGAAATTTCCGGAATTTTTGGGTAAATGGTAAACAACCCCAGTCTAACATCTCTAAACGAAATCCTTTTAGTTATGGTGACCGCTGCCCAAGAGGGGTGCTGTCTCGTGTGTTTGCTATTGCTTGGGCCTTATGTGGTTTGGTAGTGATGGCCATTTTAATTGGAGGAATCACCACGGCTCTCACAGACTACAAGTATATGGAAACGAACATGGAACTATATGGTGCAGAGGTTAGTGAAGTTCGCTACTTCAGTGGTGGTAACTCGAGGGCAACTTCGAAATAATCGTCTCGTTAAAATCTCTTTGTTCCGTTTGTTCGATCTGGTTTTATTGCAGGTTGCAGCAATTGCCAACAATTCCGATTTTCGACTCGGTGTGCTGAAAAGTGCCAGGATGAACTCAGGTAAATCTCTAGATTGTCCAAGTGTGTTGGTCTGTTTCAGGTACTATTTCAGGTAAAGTGAAAAAGATAATGTATTAATTAAACATCTTAGCTAGCTGTTATACATTTGACTGGTTGTGTAACAATCATGTGGAGTTTTCAATAAGTTCCTGCGAGAAGGCTCGCTTGGCATACGCGGGGGGGGCTACACAGAGAGAACGAGTCGGTGAGTTAAGTGAGCAGTCAATGAGGCACCTGGTAAAAAAAGTATATGACTGATTTTCCAGTCTTTCTGTAGAATTCAAACTAGTGACAACTGAGTTTGTTATTGGGGGAACATTACGCTTTCCTTAAACTCAACGTAGGAAGTTCTTAGCTAGCGACTGACTGGTTTTAATTGACTATGATGTGCACTGATCCACTTTGTCGATTTTTATCTCACTTACCACAATTAAGTGCGGAACTATCAGACCTACGAGGAAATCAGCGAAGCTCTGAGAAACGGAGAGGTCAGAGGAGCCTTGGTGGACCTTTATGCGCTGTCCTCTCACAAGCATCTATTTGATGACCCTCGCTTCAGGATCGTCCGCGTCTATGATTACAAGGCTAGTTACGGTGTGGTCCTAGCAGGTCACTCTATGAAGCTGGAAAAGTGCTTTAAAGAGTACACCAAGGCTAATACAGAAAAGGTGTTTCGTAGGATCGAACAAAATAGCAACAGTCTTCAGGTGAGAACACTGTTCTTAATTAGGAGTTTATAATTGACTGTTGGCTGTCGAAAGATTTGATTTTCAAGAACGCATCCTCTTTTTTTATGAAACGCTTAATGGTTGGTTTCACGAGTCTACATCCATATTGCGTCGTTTGTGCCACAAAAATCAATAAACCTAAAGAAGACGTCTGGCGAATACAGCGTCTCATCTCGTTAACGTCCTTTGTTATTTAAATTAGTTACTAAGAAGTTAATAATTTCAAATCCATACCTAAATCGGTCTAAATAATGTTTGATCTTCCCTACCTGAAATGAGTATGTTTCCCTGTAATTTTACATCAACGGTTGCTACTCTCACAGTCATATACACTATCACAAAAGAAACATACATTTTTGAAATATATTAATGTACATAATGTAAGCTAGTGAGTAAGAGAGTGAGTGAGTTACTGATAAGTGGTTCAGTGAAGAACAACCGAGCAGAATGGGGCTGAGGGCCAAGGTGGGAGGTTCCCGTGTAGTCGGCCACAGAAACTGCGTAGTAGCAGCAATGGATGAAATAATTACAATGGTCGTCCAATCTTTTTTTTAAACTTATTTAGGAACCAGAGTTTGACCTAGCCGAACAGCAGTCCATAAGCCTTTTTAACGTGAGGTCAACAAAATACGTCAGCACGGTCATAATCATCATGGCTTTGTTATTATTAGCTTGTATCCTGGGAATCATCTATGAACGTCGTCGAAGAAAGATCAGCACAGGTAACAAATTCTTTACTGACAATTGTATTGGGATGTGATTTTTCTAACGCTTGGCAATTCATGCTTTTGCAGAAATTAAAACGTAATGCCACCTCCTGTATACATATTTTTTACTTCAAGGGTATAAATTCAGCATTAAAGAGCATTGACGAGTCCATTACAATCGTGTTGATTTCAGAAGGTACCCATCCGATTGGAATTGTTGTTCTAGTAGTCTGCTAGCAGCCGGTTTTTTTCTGTAAGGGTCACTTAGACGAGCGTTCAGTCATCGCGAACGCAAAAGTGCGATATGGCGGTGGCCGTTTAGGCAAGAAGGCGAGACAAGGGCGGTATGGCTAAGTAGGGAAGAAGAGGCATGCCCATGCCTCGTCCCATTTCCCTTTAGGGTAAAACGTCTCGCCTCATAACCCCCGCCAACGCGAGTTTCGAGAGAAAAACAGGCTGCCAGCAGTCTTTTGTTCTAGAAAACAAGCGCTCAATTGATAGCGACACTATTTACAATGAAGCTACGATGTTCGTTTATAACTAACCACTTTTTATTTCAAAATACATCCTTGAAAACCTACCTCATTGATCGTGTTCACAAATAGAGGACTTGCACTGTTATGCGAAGATCACTCTGAAAAATTCACCAGTTTGAGTTCCCAAGACTTCTGAACTGGGTGAAGAAAGCGATTTACGTACAAATCGCTCAATCCGACCACGTAAAGTTATATCAGTGCTCACAAACACTATTATTATTCACTTGATTACTTAGAGTGTGCAGTCGATGCATGGCGTGGCGTGTGAATCGCGTGTGCGGTAAGGATGCGCACAAACAATACACGCCAAGGTCGTTAATGTTTGATCAAGTGACGTTAACGTGGTTCTTGTCATTTCGTCATTACAGGAACTCGAATGAGCTTCAAAATTTTTCATTGTTTCTTACAGTTTTGAGGCAGAGTAAAGATCTAAAGAAGGAGATGTTGCCTCTTGTGAAAAGTTTCCTCGTGAGTATCAAGAAAAATGTCGAAGCTTTATCTAAACGGCATCGTCAAGAGAGATGTCACTTGATACAGGTGGAGAGAGAGCGTGACCAAGAAGCAGCCGATGCAGTGAATAAGTATTACCAAGTACTTAGCTTGCGCGACATTCGACAAGAATGGTCCCGACGTCGGAAGCCTCTCAAAAGTAAAGTGTCGTCATTGAGTAGCAGGAAATCCTGCAATCCAACGCAGTGGCCCTTTACCGAGACAACTAATCGGGGGTTAACCAATGTTACACTGCCATGGAAGGCCAACTCTCATCCCTTTGGGAGAAAGTACGCCTTTGATCCCCTATCTACTCCTGTCACATTGGAGCCCAACGTCCGTGTTGTAGAGGAAACAAAATTGTAGACGTATAGCTACAGTAATGATTTGGTCCTTTAATCACTTGCCGTGCAATGTTTCAATGCTGATCGGTGCGTGGCTGGCAAGAATTCTTTCATTTCACTTCAGTGGCACATCACATTGACATGCAACGTTTATGCAAGAGAGCTTTAAAGTAAATGCTGATTCGTTTTAGGCTGCATTGTATACAATGCTGTTTTCCATCATTTTGGATTTCTTAAACGCCCATTCCGTCAAATTATCAAGTTGTTAGCATTGAATAGATAAATACTGTTACGGCTATCTGTACAGGAACTGAGTCACAACTTTCCTGGCAAGTCCAGTTGAGACGTCTACTCTTTGTCCATAATAACATGGTCGTGAACAGCTTGCATGTTTTCGAATAAGTAGCATGTTTCTTCTGTTTAAATTATTTCATAACAGGAGTTATCGAATTCTGACTTCCCGTTCCGGTGGTTGGGTCGTGTTGCGTTAACCTCAAGACGCAAGAGAGCAGAGAAAACTGTTTGCTGGAGATTGCAAAAGCACGAATCGAAATCCTTCCAGAGTAACTTATAGATTAGTAACAAGAAAAAAGCTGATGCTGCCCAAGGTTACAACAAAGTTAAGTGCCAAACGTTTTATTGCTTTACAGTTTCTAATATGTTTACAAATCTTTGCCTGTCGGTTTAAGTCACTCGGCAATCACATTTGAACCTAATACTCTGTCCAACCACTATGTAGAATGAGCCCCTGTGCATGAACCGGTCACGTGGTACAAAATCTGCGATACCGGATGGAAAGCTACGCACTGGGATATCTAAAGCAAAGAGGAGTCAAGTTTGACTGGCTCAAACGGTTTTGGAGGCTCTACTATCTGAACAGTTCATGCAAAGTGCCCATTGCGTGACGATCCAAATACTTAGTGAAGTGCGTTGCATTATGCTCCTGAGTCTAACCAGTGAATAGATTGGTTTTGTATATAGTGCCATCAATGTGGGATGCGTGATGTAAAAACATTTTTGCCCCGACACGCTACATAAACAGAGGAATCCTCGCTGTTGGGTATCTTTCAGTTCCTAGTATATATATCAAAGGTCTTTGTGTAGGTCCTAAAATGCTAAGTCATGTCCCTTTAGCAAACATGACAAAAGTTGTCTTTAGTGATGGACTCAAATGTAAAATAATAAAACTATTCTGTTTCATCGAGAGTTATACTGCTACGCTCGTGTTGAGTTTAAGCAAAAAATAGTGTTGCAAATAGACAACGCAGAGAGATCAAAACGTTTGTGGCACACCCATATTCCCTGAAGTCCCTCAGGCTTCCTCCGTTCGTTGTAGTAGGTAACATTTATTTCAGCAAGTTGACTAACATCACGCCACGCAATTATTGATGGTGATAAAATCGATTACGGGTATATAAAAAATATATTCAATTCACATTCATTCTCTTAAACAAGAGAGATCAACCTTGAAATGGCAAAATGATTCTCACGGCAGGGTGAGGAGATTAAGGTAGAACTGAAGTAAAAAAAAAACCCGTCGGCAGAATATATATACCCATTTTGGAAAACAAACTTTCATGGGGGTTAAAAAAGAAAATTGATTGTAACCTGTCTCAATTTCCTCTCCTTGCAGCGAGAATCACTTCGCCGGCTTTTTTCTATGGCTACATCTCACCGTTATCTAATTCAAGCCTAAAGCTCTAGATGCCATTTTGCCTTTAGTAGTGTCTTTGCATACTAACCTTGGAAAAGCTAATTCTCAAATGTGCAGGTATACAAAACGCGTTAAAATGTCAAGCAGCTCGATATAAATTGCGTCTTTTCCAGTTATTGCTGGCTGTCTTATTTATGCTCTAGCTTAGTAGCAGCACTTTTTCTTCAACTTTGCCAAACCCTGTTGTAACTTTGCAATTTCAAATGGACCTGGTTTAAATTTTCCACGTTGTAAGAAGCTAGAAAGGTCTACATTGGTCGGACAACGTGTACACAAATAGTGTCACATCCACAAATTGCTAAACCTAGGGGCTAGGCTTGATAATTTTAAACCGGGGCATTTCCTTGAAAAATACCCTCTTTCGAGTAATTCCACTTTGGCCAAATGTTGTTTTTGCATGTCTTAAGTGACAGTTTCGTTTAAGTCTACGCTTAGTTTAGTCTTAGTAGAGCCACTGAGCGACGAAATTCTCTTGTGCGTAATGAACGACTTATTGAAGCTAGCCTCCATTCTCACAGTAATGTCTTTGAACACTTCTGGAGACTCACCATGTTCTTCCAAAACGCGTCGCACCAGCGCCTTCAACAGATCAAAGCAATGAATAAGTTCTCCTGCTCGTACCGGAATCTCTAGCTGCCTCAGAACACCGGCGTTCGGCTGAGGAATTTTGAAAGGTTTGTCGAGAGTAGCTACAAACTCTGACAAGCGATCCAACGGAAGGTACGGCTTCCCGTCCGGGACAAACAAACCCCACGTAACGTAGTAGCTGTCGAAGTTTTCCTTGGTGATGCAGAAGTCTTCGATCTCGTGTGCTCGGTTCACGTTTTCCAGGATAACGGCAATGTACATGTTAACGATCACCAGGAACACTATTATGACATAACTGGCCAGGTATACAATGGCGCTGAAGGAGCCGCAGTTACCATGAGGAAGTCCCATGTAGCTTGGATCACAGTAGGGCGGTTTTAGCAGCAACGCATCCATGATGTCGTTCCATCCCGACCCTGTTGATAGTCGAAACAGCAGCAATAGCGAAGTACCAAATGTCTCGAAGTTGACAATGTCGTTCAACTCGCCTTCTCGTTTGACATTTCCAAAGGCAGACATACCGATGATTGCGTAGATGAATATCACCATAAACAGTAGAGTGCCAATGTTGAAGAGAGCTGGTAACGAGATCATGAGAGCCCACAAAAGCTGCCTTATTCCCTTCGCGAACTCCACCAGCCTTAGTAACCTGGCGATTCTAAAGATTCGAAGAACTCGGAGCAGGCTAGGGCTGACGGCTCCTTCGTTTGCACTAAATTCGTCTAGTACAACGTCTGTTGATCAAAATGAAATACGAGTAGTTTTTCAGTTGCCCCCACTAAAATATTACAATACTTGCCCAATAGGCGTGCAATGTTCATGCCTCATCAACTAAATCAATTACATCACTTACTAAGTACTCTCTATAATCAAGTGTGTTTGGATTTTAAATTAATCTATGCTTTCAACTTATTGTTTTGCTCATCTTGTAGTCTTAAGTTTTGAAATTGTTTTTGATTACGAATTTTCACCAACACGATTATTGAGTCTAATTTCACTTGCCTACCATACTGCCTTGAAATTTTCATTTTCACTTGCCTAAAAGCAAACTGTACTTGCTCCCGGCAATCGGACCAGGTTTATTTTTTTCCTGCCCAGCTTGAACACGAGGTCAGCCACGCAGACTATGCAGATATGTTTTGTGATTTCCCTTCACATCGTATTTTGATCTCAACCGTGATGTCACGTCCATCAGCTTGCAGGTGCAAAAACCAAGATTGACAGCGTGTCAAATGTCGCTTTACTCTTAAGTCTCGTTATCTTCATCAGCATGCATTGCAAAGCTAATTAAGGATGGGATTCATACAAATTTAAAAATCCGTGCTACATACCCACGAGAGAGCTGATAACGATGATGAAGTCAAACACATTCCACGGCTTCTTGAAGTAGTGTAGCCTAAGAGTGGCAATCTTGACTATGGCTTCCAGAACAAATATTCCGGTAAATACGAAATTGGAGACTCGTAGAAATCTCAGTCAAGGAAATGGTCAATATATGCAGCCACAACTTAGTCTTACAGCGGAGATCGCTGCACTGTTGCCAATAATCTGAAGTCTTATATTCGAACTAGCAAGTCAAACTCCAAGGTCTGCAAGAACTGAGCGCAGCAGGATCATAAACTGACAGAATGGGAATAAAAGAACTAAAGCTGTTTTCACACTAGGCCGAAACATAGTCTGATCACGAATGAAACATGCTTCGTTCTGAAAAGTGTTCACATCAGACAATGCATTGCGCGAGTTATGGTTCAAACATGATTATTCTGAGCATGATTGAAACATCCTCGCTTCACGAAGTAGTCTCAATCATTATCAGACCAAACAAGTTCAAAATGGCGGATGGACCCGGAGAGGAAGCGAGTGCCCCAAAGAACCAAAACTGGGGCTATTGTGAGGCCAATGTCTTGTTGAAATATGGGCCGATGAAGAAATACAACGGCAATTATCGGCGATGGGTAGCAACCAGAATATCTGGGAGAACATTGCCGCAAAACGTAATGACAAAAGCGAGTACTATGAAACAGCACAAATTATACAACCATGCATGAAACGTGTTTGAAACCGCATCTGATGTGAACAATGCAATAACAAACATGTTGAAACATGTTTACTCTAATCATGTTTCGGTTTTAATATGAACACAGCTTAAGATGACAATTCCGACTCTCCGGCGTAGTTTTTGCTTTCTTGTTGCTAACTTAAAACGAGAGCCGTCAGAAAGTTGCTAATTACAGCGTATGAAAAAATTATCGAAAGCTTTGACAAGTGGTGACAGATACGCGATTTTTACAGGTAAAAGTAGATTGACAAATGACTATAGCCTTCATCGGTATGCATATTATGAAGCCACATTGACAGAAAAGATTAGCATGAAGATTAAAAACAATAAAAAAACCTAGTTTCTGAGAAAAAAGAATAAACAAACAAATAACAAAAAACAAAAACAACAATTGCATTTTACTTCTTTAAGCTAGCTAAATTATGCAAAGGATATTTAAAACGCTGGAGATCTCGGGCGATTGTCCATGATGTTGTATCGTCATCATGACCATGTTACACATTATCACTGACAGAATAGCAATCTCAAACTTGTCTGATGTCACCACGTCATATAAGACACCGAATACTCTCTCCTGTAGAATGAGTCAAAAAGCGTCTTAATATTTAACTGAATCATGACTTTCAAAAGATAAAAATAAAGCAAAGTGGAGATACAATACTTACTTTCGGTCGAATTTGTCTTTTCGGAGGCTTCTTTCTGGCAGCTTCCTTTAGGAAGGTAACCCACTTCCTTTGTGTATCCGTCAGTAGCATTCCCATGCTGTTCAGTTCCTCGTACTGCGAAAGAAAAAAAATACACAATAGTATAGGAAATACTCTATGCATGTTTGAAACTAGTCTGTTAAAAAGGCCGGAGCATTAGAGGGAATACGAAGCGACGAGTCTGAGCCGGGTTAAATACCTCTATGACTACCGTCTACGTCATTTTGGTCACTTCTTGACGGAAAGCAACGTTTTGCTCAGGGAGAACCCGGCCTCGGCGACTAATGGATTCGATTGGATTGATAACAGGTACGAAGCTGACTTACCTTTTGTTTTAAAGTGTTAAAATTATCGATAATGACCCCAACGAACAGATTCAGTACGAAGAATGAGCCCACGACGATGAAAGCAACAAAATAGCAGTATGCCACCACATTGTTTTCATACTCTGGCTGCATGTCCACCTACGAGAGATATAAAATGTATCAATTATGGCTACTGTGGTCACGTGGTGCGATCAGCGCTTAAAGATGAAACAAAAATCACGGGATAATCTAGTTGCACTGTAAAGGACTTATTGATGTCATGCTATTAGCCTTGAAATTGTACGCTAGATTATCTCTGCGATCATCATGATAATTTTCGAGGAAATTTCGGGAGAATAAAGAACGTAATTAGACGAAATTCGTTTGCATTTCGTTTACACAGCGCTGTAAAATGCAAAGACATAAATAGCCGCCTACCACTTCAAACTGTCAAGCTTTGGAATCAATTTGAAATAGTCAGCCGTGAATGTTATCTGTAGGAAGTCGTAAGACGTAAGAATGCTGGCGAAATGTTAGACGAATTTTTAAGAAAAAAAAAACAACAACAACAACAACAAAAAACAATATAACTACTCGTGGAAAACTTTAAGAACGATGATAGTTTTCTACTGGAAAAGGAACTAAAGGAAATGTCTAATGATTTTAGGAACATGCTGTCACTGTACAAACCTCAGCGGAGTCAACGGCATCCTTCATGACTTCCATCCATCCTTCAAAGGTCGCCTGAAGAAGAGTCATTGAAAACTTAGACTGGGCTTTGCTTAAACTCATTGTTGCATTAACGGAAAATTTAGCAACAGTTACGGCCTCATATAAAATGAAAATTAACATGGAAAAACAACGCCGTCAAATCTAAAACTTTTTGCATCTTGGATTTAGCTAGAAACTTAGTTGAAACCTAATCAAGGCAATGCAGTTAGTCCTTTTATGTTAATAAAGAACGATTATGATTACATTTGGCGTCTCTTTGTTAACATTCGTTCGGTTCCTGTTTCGTGTGATTAATCTTTATCTCAGTAATGAAAGATGTTGTTTGTGTTGCTAAACGTAGCCGTCTGGCTTTGTTAACTCATAAGATTTCGATTCATTTTGCCGTTTATCTATTGGTGCAAAAGATTTATGCTATTTTAAAAATAATTTTAGTGCTTGGGAGAGCTTCATTCATACGTGGCAGTTCGTCGGAAATATTTGAATCCATTTTTTGTTGGCGTCGACTAACTTAATTCTTACTCTAGAGAGTTCTTCAGATGTAAACGCATTTAGTAACCGACATTTAGCTCATTATTATTTTTTGTAACTTTCTCCGCAAACTTGTCTAAGACGTTCCAGGATATGTTGAAATGTCAAAAACTGAGATGTTACACCCTTTAGGTACCAAAACCTGATTTTCAGCCCTCCACAGGTAAAACAAGCCGACAGTGTCAAATAGAGAGTATCTACTCCCTCGGGATTTGATGTACGAATAGACTGGAAATATACTTACCACTTGCATGAGTGCGAGAAACCCTGCCAGGACATTGTCAAAAGTCACTTTGGAATTTTCCCAGCGATATTTATCAGGATACTTAAGGCATTCTGCCTTGCTGGGGATCGTAGTTGCTGGCAATGGCTCGTTGTCTTCGTCCACACATTTGTAAAACTTCCCAGCGAAAAGATGAACACCGAGGATGCTAAATATCAGCCAGAAGAGCAGGGATACAAGCAGTACATTTCCAATCCCTGGAATTGCAGCGAAAAGGGCGTTCACCACAACCTGCAAGGAAGAGCAAGTGCAGCATTTTACTGAAAGTTATAAACTGTTTTCACCACTTTGTACAAGTCGAACTTCGATTGCCACAGGCAGCCCCTGGCACCCTTTCCTTTGCACAAGAAAAACGTTTTTATCAGTGTTTGGTTGCACCTTTTAGACCAGTAAAAAGCGTACATCTATGTAATGTGTCCACCTGCGGTGGTGCTGATCAGTACGAGGGTAGGTGTAGGCCATTGTTTTGGTTGTCAGCCACTCAGATGACAAGTCTTCCATCTCCTTCATCACTGTGCAAGTCTCGTTAGTATATAAACTCTGCATCTGTTACCTTCATTCCTTCCATTCTTGAGATTGCTCTCAGTGGTCTCAAGGCCCGCAAGGTACGTAGGGAACGAAACACAGACAGATTCTTGTCTTCGAAAACACAGGCGAGTGAAATCTGTGAACAAAAAAGTACAAGGTATAGTCTAGAAATAATAATTTGAGGCTGAAATATCAGTTCCAAGTTCACGACCATCACGTTGACAAGCAGGTTTTCAAGGAGTGGCATGTATATTTTGAAGCGAATTCAGAACTAACGACTGTAATATATCAATAAGACACACAACCGTGTCTTCCACTTTAATCGCCTTTTGAATAAACGTTTTGTGAATAAAATGAAGCTGACAGCTTGTTACTAGCCTGAAGACGGAAGGAAAATACCATGCCCAACAGAAGTGTTAGGAGACTTGAGGTGCGAAAAATTGAAATTTTCTTCTGAACATCACTTTACCTTGAGCAGGAGGAAGCAACTGTTACTGCTAGGCTTGTGGTTATTTTTCTGGTTTGTTATATCTTGGTAAAGCGGAAGCTATTGTTGCTTATCTATCGTGTTTTTATTGCTTTTTGGATCTTTTATTTTACATGATTTGGTGATCGGCCAATCCTCAATTGGAAGAAACAGCGTCTTTTAACCTGGAGTAACCCAATTCGACTTGAAGAACCGACCCTTCAGGTTTTACTCACCGAAACAATGAACGCGTCCAGGCAGTTCCATGCGGAGGAGAAGTATTTGACAAGTCCGAATCCTATGGCTTTCAGAACAAATTCAAGTGTAAAAATTGCTGCGAAAACGTAGTTGAGTATTTCCAATGTCTTAATAAGTTTAGGCTTCTTGTGAAGATGAACGTCTTCAAAAATCTACAAGATATAAAAGCAAGCTGCTTCATAGCTGGGTCTAATACAGTTTCTTTACCAAATATTTTCTTGTTTATCTTGTTCCGCCCAGCAAATTATTCAGCAGACGGTTCTAGGCTGCTTAGTATTTAGCCTGCGTAGCTGACAGAATTTTGCGTGCATGTGCTTTTTACCAGAGGTGGAGCTGCATACATTTGGGGCTGAGGTAGCCAGAAATTTTCTTGAGCTTTGATCTTAACTTGATTTCTCATTGTTCTCCTCCCGGCCTCCTTTTGTTGGAGGCTCGGCTGCTGAGAAATCTCACACGCTTGCGAAATCCCTCAACAGTGTAGCTATTTAAGTTTAAGTGACACAGCCATTCGCAATCTTCGCCAGTTTCT